TTACGTACTTACGTACGTTACGTACGTTACGTACGTACGTACGTACGTACGTACGTACGAGTAGAGAGAGAGAGAGAGAGAGAGAGAGAGAGAGAGAAGGAGAGAGAGAGAGAGGCGACTGCTCTACTGGATCTTATGTGGTATGTGTTTCCATGCCTAGAGAGAGAGGCTGTTGCTCTAGTGGATCTTATGTGGCCTGTGATTCCATGCCAAGGTCTTTGGTATATTGTTAAGAGAGAGAGATTGAGTTTGTTGCCAAAGTTTCATGCCAAGGTCTTTGGCATATTGGTAATATAGTATTCATGTAATATCCTCCCATGCGGAGTTGGTTACATAGCTTTTATTAGGAATTGAATGTGACTGGTTCTCTTTGGAGTTCAATAACCATGTGCAGATGGCACTAGAGTGTTTGTTGTGTAGCTGGTTATATATTCCGCAAAAGAAGAATAGGCTTGGGTAGCGCGTTTCCACTCTGGTTTTTGAGGGACCTGAAGCGCATCTCAAATCATTGCAAAGCCGTTTCCACCACTTTGGAGCTCTCAAATCATTGCAAATCCATTTCAGCCAATTTGGACCTCCAATGACCGGTCTGTTTGAATGACAATTAGTTTATCTGGAATATAGACTATATTTGAATTTGAATGACAATTAAAATACTCTATTTGGACTTGAATGGCAATTAGTTTTATCTGAAATAGAGTACTTTATTTGAAATTAATATACTCTAAATGATATTATTTTGTGCATATATTATATTACAGTTGAAGGTCGAGTGCCTTGGCACTTAAGGTAGGATCTTATGAGAGAGGAATCATGTTCTCTATTGGGGGATTTTCATCTAGTGGGAGTTTTCATTGGTACGGTATTGCAAGTATAATCTTGAAAAGGAAAATTTATGTATGCTCTAATTTATCCATTTTATTGTAAATTTGTTGCAATTTAAACAACATTCTGACTGTATAATGAATGCAATGGCCAACGCTCACTAAGCAAATGACTTCTTAGTAATTTATGCTTTTTGTAAAATAATGATCTACAATGCAATACTCTTATTTTTTATTTTTTTTGAAAATATAAATTTTTAAGAAATTATAGTAATTTAGGCCGGATCTGCCTGAGTCATATGTTTCACAAGTCCCCGTTATTGCTTTGCCAGTTTGGATTAGCTTTTGAGATGGTCAATTTACCTGGCCAATTTGGTTTTTCGATCCCACCCATTTTTTTCGAAAATCATCATCATTTTCATCATTTTAGCTTTTTCCAATTAATTGGGATTTCTAGCATGAATTTGGTTATCTATTTTATATATTTTTTCAAAAATATATAATAAAATATTATAAATATTTAAACTTGAAATGCAAGAATTGAGATAGAGATAAATAAGCCAATGGAATTTTTGGAATAAATTGGTGTATGTGTGTTTTGGGGGGGGAGGACACATCATTCATCTGTTTAGCTTTTTTCCAATTAATTGGAGGGGGTTGTATGAATCATATGCATGAATCATGGTTCTCCATGCTCTATTAAAAGCCACATCTTTTCAACAACATATAAAATTTTATGTTTTTTTGAATTTGAAAAGTAGGAATTGAGATATATAAAATTTTATTTTATTTTTTAATTTGAAAAGTAGGAATTGAGATGGAGATAAATGAGCTAAAGAAGGTTTTATATATGGGGAAAAAATATTTTGCTAAAGGTATCATATTTGTGGTGGTGTCAGAAAAAATCATGTCGAGGGATTTTTCTACTCCCTTGGGAGCATACTATCCATTCACACCGTCGGGCAAAATACATTATTGGGATACTTTTTAGATCTCAAATTTAGGGATTTTAATCTCGTCAACTTATAGAGTAATTTTGGCAAAGGCAATTTTTAAAATAAATTATGTGTACTAGAAAAGACTAGCCTCAAGATTGTATGGAAACTTTCCTCTTTTTGAAGGGCTAGATCTAGGCGTCGTAGAACTCAATTCAAATGTTAAATTTTAAAAATAATCTGGTATTCTCATGTGTTTCTCAATTTTAGACTAAAAAAATTCCCCCAAATTGGTGATTTGAGTGAGGGAGTAGGTGCACAGTATGCTTATGTGGAAGCATGGTATATACACTCAAAATTCATTAGGCAGTAATGTAGAAGTAACGACGCAGCGTCTACACCACATTTTAATTGCATGGTACATATTTGACAAATCTTGTAAGATTCAAAATTTGACACCTTTTTGAGATATTGTCAAATGGACCCAACATATTAATGCAATCCTACTTATATAAATAAAATTTATGTATGCATCTTGGGCTGGCCAGATTATGATAAGGGGAATGGCTTGTAGTCAAAACTAGGCATATCCAAGAGCCAGGGGGCATATAGGCATTTTTCTCCTTTTTAGCGTTTCTATAATGGCACGTTTGGTTGTTGCGTAAATATTTTTCCTGCAAAATATCTACACGTGAATACTTTACAAGAAAATGATTTGCAAACTTTTATCCATGTTAACAAGTTTAAAAAGCACTGTGTAATGAATTTCAGCTTGTTTGGTATTCAAGTATATTTTGTAAATGTGTTAAATATATACATGTATTATTTAGATATTATAACTAAAAAAAATACATAGTTATATTTATTTAAAGGGTGTAGTTTGTATAAGGCTTATGCCCTAAACAATTAAACTAAGGTATGCCCTCAAATAGTGTCAAAAGATGTATAATAGATTAAAAATTTATTTTCATCTCTAATTATCAAATTTTTAGCTTAAAAAATAATGTATCAAGCAAATCTATGAACGGTTTGAAAATTATGAAAATTGACGGTCCAAATAATGCATTCACAAGATGCACTATTTTCAAGACTTGAAGTCTTTTTTTTTTTAATGTCTTTGTATCTCAAGGTCAAGATGATTGGATTTAACAGTTTTTCACCATTGAAACACCTTCTTCTATTTATTTTTTGAGGTGCGCCTTAATTTTATGTTTAGGGCCACAGCCTTATATAAACTTTTTTTTTTATTTAAATACTATTAAAATATTATACATTGAATATTATTTAAATCATGTATATTGTAAGCATAAATAATATATATTGTATCGTAAATATCGATTATATAAATAAATGAATTATATAATAATATATATATTATTCAAATATATTGTATTATATAAAAATATTTGTGTTTATATATATATATATATATAT